ACTAAGTAAAACTGCAGACTAATTGCATAATTCAAACATGATTTATAACCAAAGAACAAATCCTTGCAGTTCTAAATTTGCAATTCCTCTACTTGGTTTCCCTCTTCTAGTTGGCATCTGTCATGAAGTAAACAACATAAGCAGTTGATGAGCCAAGAAAGAACATTTAATTTGTAAAAATGTGTGTATGATGATAGCTGTTGAGCATGAGTATAGGTTGGATTCTTTCTTTGCACAGGAGCTCTTTGGCATGTTCTCATGTTGTGACCAAACTGACCACAATTTCCACACTTTAAGGTACTAGACCTTTTTGGCTAAGATGAAGGTCCTTCATCAGCTTCTCTCCTTCTGTTAACTCTTGATCTACCAGGAGCTCTTCTAAAAGAAGGGGACAGTACAACCTTAGGGGTAACTTTATACATAGGAGGTTACCTCTTTTCATGAGGTATAGGGTGAATCATAGGAGCATATGCCTTCAAGTAAATGTCTTTGGAGAACCAATGATTGCAGTAATCTTCCAACTTTTCCCTTTTGTAGCTAATGCCAAGTGCAGCATGTTTGCAAGGAAGTCCAACTAATTGGAAGGCACCACAGTCACAGGTCCTTTGGTTTAAATTGACTATGAATGATCTGTCCATATCACCAATCTCAAGTGTATCCTCACTTTCCATATTTAGGGTACAATGCCTTAATGCTTGAGCAATTTTTTTGAGCTTTTCAGCAAATTTTGAGGTGATTCTGTTAGTTAATATGCATCCCTTTTGGTATCTCTTATGCATTTTCTTCATGAACTTCCTTCTCAAACCTTAACAAGGGTAAGTATGGGTTTGCCCCTGAGATCACCAACCCATGAATTAAACGATTCAATGAAATTATTCGTGACATGGTCACATTTAATTTCTTTTGAGAATGCATATCTACATCACGCCTTCTTGGGAATTTTGTCCAAATATTTCCAAGCCTGTATGTTGATGTCTTTAATGGTTGACATTGCTTTATTGTAGCCTATGTGATCAAGACTCTTTGCTGCCTTCCAGAAGAAACTATTAAGCAGCATGCCTCGAAATTGCTGCTTGAAGTTGCTGCAAATGTGCTTGCAACAATATCTGCCACTAGCATTTGGAAAAATCTCCTCATAAGTAAGGTTGAGCTCCTGAAACAGCAAATAGATGAGTCAAACCACTAAATATCACTTGAGTACCTAAACCTAAAATTACCTATTTTGGACCATTGTACCTATCTCCAAATTTTCGAGCTTATTGTACTCCCAATTGGCTAGAGTTTTCAGACACGTTTTCACTTTTCACTAAACAAGCTTCTAAGAAAATAATTTTTGAATCGAGACATTTTAAAAATATAACGAAACTATAAAACCATGTACTTAGGTCTAAAAAGGCTAAAAAATATTATTCGTGGCAAAAATCCAAATAAATAATTAATTTAGCCAAAATTAGGGATTTTAAATAATAAAATTTTCGAGTCCTCACATCCTATCCCCCTTAAGAAATTTCGTCCTCGAAATTTACCTTGATTGGTGAACAGGCCTGAATACTTTTCTCGAATTGCTTCTTCGACCTCCCAAGTTGCTTCCTCCAACCCATGGTTCTTCCAGAGGACCTTTACTAATGGTATCTGTTTGTTCTTCAATTCCTTTACCTTCCTATCCAAAAGCTTAATCGGTTTCTCCTCATAGGTTAAGGTCTCATCAATCTCAACATTTTCCGGTTGCAGGACATGTGAAGGGTCCGGATGGTATTTCTTCAGCATAGATACATGAAATACACTATAAATTCGAGATAAATTCGGCGGTAATTCCAACTTATAGGCTACACTCCCTACACGTTGGATAATCTTGTAAGGTCCTACAAACCTTGGCTGTAACTTCTTTCCTTTTCCAGACATTAAACTTGCTTTCAAAGGTGTAATCTTGAGAAATACCAAATCTCCAACAGTAAACTCCAAATCCTTTCTTCGATTATCGGCATAACTCTTTTGGCGGCTCTGGGCAGCCTGAATTCTCTGACGTACTAACTTTACCTTTTCATTAGCTTCCTCAATCCAAGATACTGTGGTCGGATCTAGGATTTTCCGTTCACCTACTTCGTCCCAACAAATTGGGGACCTACATTTTCGACCATAAAGTGCATCATATGGGGCCATCTGAATAGAAGAGTGGAAATTATTATTGTAGGCAAACTCCACTAAAGTCAAAAATTTACTCCAACTCTCTCCAAAGTCCAGAACACAAGTCCGTAACATGTCCTCAAGAGTTTGAATTGTCCTCTCCGACTGTCCATCCGTCTGGGGATGATAAGTGGTACTAAAGTTCAATTTAGTCCCTAACACTTCTTGCATCTTTTGCCAGAATCTCGAAACAAATCTTGGATCTCTGTCCGACACAATACTTACAGGTATTCCATGCAACCTAATGATCTCATCCAAATACAATCTGGCCAACTTCTCTAATGGGTATTTCATATTAATCGACAGAAAATGAGCCGATTTGGTCAATCTATCCACTATTACCCAAATCGCATCATGGCCTCTCTGTGTTCTTGGTAATCCCGATACAAAATCCATAGTGATATTCTCCCATTTCCACTCAGGTATTTCTAGAGGTTGCAAAAGTCCTGATGATTTCTGATGTTCGACTTTAACCTGTTGACAAATTAAACATGTTTGGACAAATTGGGCAATTTCCCTCTTCATGTTCTCCCACCAATACAAACTCTTTAAGTCTTGGTACATTTTATTTCCTCCTGGATGTACCGTAAACTTTGATCGGTGCGCCTCTTCTAAGATTTCTCTTTTAAGCCCTTCATCCTTTGGCACAACTATTCGATTCCGAAACCTCAATATTCCATCTAACCCCAGATTAAAATCTGTCTTGTCTCCCATTTTAATCCTTTCCGCCCATTTTTGCACTTCCGTGTCCATTTCTTGAAATTCCTTAATGCGTTCCAATAAAGTGGAAGTTACTATAATATTCTCCAAAATTACCTTCCTTGGTTCCAATCGAGGATTCCAGTAACTCACTTCTTCCAATAATTGAAACTCCTTAATCATCAATCCAGCCATTTGTACTTGACGGCTCAAAGCATCGGCCACTACATTGGCCTTCCCAAGATGGTACTTAATAGTGCAATCATAGTCTTCCAAAAATTTCATCCATCTACGTTGCCTCAAATTCAGCTCTTTTTGAGAAAATAAGTACTTAAGGCTTTTGTGATCTTTAAAAACCTCGAATGTTACTCCGTACAAATAATGTCTCCATTTCTTCAAAGCAAAAACCACAGCCGCTAACTCCAAATCATGAGTTGGGTAATTCCCTTCATGCGGTTTCAATTTCCTAGAGGCATATGCTATTACCTTGTCATTTTGCATTAAAACGCACCCCAATCCTTCCTTAGAAGCATTTGTGTAAACCACAAAACTATCCTTTCCGTTTGGCAAAGCTAACACAGGCGCTCTTGTCAATCGTCTTTTCAATTCCTGAAAACTTTCCTCACACTTAGGACTCCATAAAAACTTTTCATTTTTCTTGGTCAATTCAGTCATGGGTCCAGCAATTTTCGAAAAATCCTGAATGAATCTCCGGTAATACCCTACTAATCCAATAAAACTTCAAACCTCGGTAGGGTTTTCCGGTCGTTTCCATTTCGAAACAGTTTCAACTTTAGCTGGATCCACTTTAATCCCATCCCTAGAAATTATGTGTCCCAAGAAAGTCACTTCTTTTAACCAGAATTCGCACTTGCTGAACTTAGCATACAATTGATGCTCCCTTAAGGTCTGCAAAACAACCCTTAAGTGATTCTCATGGTCTTTCACATTCTTAGAATACACCAATATGTCATCAATAAAGACCACCACAAATTGGTCTAGATAAGCTTTAAAGACCCTATGCATTAAATCCATAAAAGCAGCAGGAGCATTCGTTAACCCAAATGGCATCACGGTAAACTCAAAATGCCCATATCTCGAGTTAAAAGCAGTCTTGGGTATGTCCTTCTCCAAAATCCTCAACTGATAATAACCCTGTCTCAAATCCAACTTCGAGAATACTACAGCCCCTTGCAATTGATCAAATAATTCATCGATGTGGGGCAAAGGGTACTTATTTTTAATTGTAACATCATTCAAGCCTCTATAATCTATACATAGTCTCAAACTCCCGTCCTTTTTCTTAACAAACAAAACTGGGGCTCCTCACGGAGAATCACTCTCTTTTATAAAACCCCTTTCTAGCAAATCTTGCAGTTGCAATTTCAACTCCTTTAATTCCGCTGGAGCCATTCGATATGGCGTTCTAGAAATAGGGGCTACTCCCGAGGTTACATCGATCTTAAAAGCTATTTCCCGTTCCGGGGGTAGAGACTCCAATTCTTCAGGAAAAACATCGGAAAAGTCTTTCACTACAGGCATGTCCTCCAAATTCACCTTATCACTAGGGGTGTTAATAAGAAAAGTCAAATACCCTTGAGCTCCTTTGCTTAATAACTTCCTAGCCCGAATTCCTGAAATAAGCGCAGACGAAGCTAATTTACCCCTTACATCCAGTTTCAAGGTTGTTTCTCCTGGAATACGCAACTCTACAATCTTCGTCCTACAGTTTAACTGAGCGTTATAACGGCTAACCAATCCATTCCCAAGATTACATCGTATCCCTTAATCGTCAATCCCATCAAATCAGCCAATAATTTTCGTTCCCCAATCCAAACTTCACAATCTTGATACACCAAGTTAGCAATTAGACTCTGATCCCCAGTAGGCGTTTTAACTTCAAGATCATATGGTAACTTAATTAGCTTCAAGTCTATCCCACTCATGAAGTTAGGGTTTACAAAAGAATGTGTAGCACCTGGATCAATTAAAACCCTAGCTAAACGATGAAAGATTGGAATTGTACCTTCTACCACCTCAGTTGTTTCAGGAACTTGTTGATAGTCAAGTGCATAAACCCTGGCGTGTACTTTCGGTCGGCTCCCTCTGGCACTAGTTTACTTAGAGGCTGACTTTTCCGGTCTCTGGGTATCACCTCCCGTCTTCATTTTGTTTGGACAGTTCGCGAGCTGATGCTCGGTACTACCGCAGGCCAAGCACTTCCCAGACTTCCTCCAACAGTCATTTTCAGAATGGTTGGGTTTTCCGCAGTACCCACACGTAACTTGAGGGGTCACCGCTGAACCACTAGAAGGCGCTCTCCTAGCCTGTGTCAGTCCACTACGACCTCCTCTAGATAAAGCTCCTCTCGAAACTCCAGCAGTCCTTGGTCCTCCCACTCCTCTTCCCATTTTGGAAGGCTGCGCACTTTTACTAGCTTGTCCAGAAGCATGGCTAGAAAAGTTTCTCTTTCTATTGTGGAAGTCTCTCACTTGAAATCTTGCACTCTCAACCCTTTGTGCCTTCTCTAAAGCTTCAGTAAAGGTAGAGATTTGGGCTGCGGCCAAGCCCTCTTGTATCTCCACATTAAGTCCCTGAACAAACCGCCTAATCCTTTTCTGCTCATTGGTCACCAGTTCGGGAGCGTACTTTGAAAGTTTAGTAAACTTTCCTTCATACTCAGCTACACTAAGAGCTCCCTGTTTTAGCTTGATAAATTCATCCTCCCTCTTCTCTTGGATTAAGGGCGGAAGAAATTTTTCGTTAAATTCCCTTGTGAAATTCTCCCAAGTCCAAGGAGTCTGAGTTCTTTCCCATTTTCCTTTTATCTGATCCCACCAAGCACGGGCTACTCCCTCAAATTGGAAAGCAGCGAAATTCACTCGCCTATCTTCGGTGTAGTCTAAAGCAGCGAATATATTGGTCATCCTTTCTACCCAATTCTCTACTACCTCAGGATCAGGTTCGCCGAGGAACTTAGGCGGGTTAAATTTTAAGAACCTCTCTAAGGCTCTATCATCTCCTCTTTCCTGACCCCCAGGTTGGTTGAATGGTCCAGGGTCTTGTCTATCAGCCAAACGCTCTAGAATATCAGCCATCTTATTAATGGCAGTAGCCACTTGATTACCCTCAATATTTTCCTGACCTTGGATCGGTGCAGTTGCTGATCCCTGGTCACCCCTTTGAGGTTGAGCCTGTCTAGTCCCTCGCCCATGACTTCGACCACGGCCTCGACCACGGTCTCGACCACCTCTTAGTCCTTCCATAACCTAGGCGTGCCTAGTGCAAGAAATAAATAAATTATGCGATGCATAACAGAAAACAGGAACCAATCAAGAAAATATTGGAATTAACAATAATTTACATTCATTAACATATCAAGTTCATACAATTAGCAAGTCATGGGGTAGTCACAAAATATAGCACACAGGTGCCACAAGAGTACTCTTAGTCACAGAAGACTAAAGTAAAAGCAAGTGCTTCCAAAAATAAGCCACACAGTCATGCAAAATACAATGGTCTCAGCACTTAGTATCACCCCAGCTAATTCTAGCTATACTGGTCAAAAGAGTCAAAAGAGTGGTCAAACTGCCTAGACCTAGTCCACAGTAGGACTATCAGGAGGAACCTCCTCCTCAGGACTAGGAGCTACCTCCATCGCATCTTCCACTAGCCTAGTGGCATCAGCTACGATATCGGAAGCCCTACTACGGACCTCCTCCCTCAACCTAGTAAGCTGAGCCCTAGTACTCTGAAGCTCATCACGGACCACAGCAGATGTGGCCACCTCACCCTCAATCACCTCTTCGAGCTCGGCGACCCTCTCGCCCTGAGCGCTCACCATCTGCCTAAGCTCATCTACCTCCGCCTGGAGATCCCTGTTAAGATCCAATAGCTGACGACGCTCGTCGTCCAGAACAAGTACAAGGTGATTCGGGTAGGCAAAGGTAACCCTACACGCACATCGGGGATATATGTTAGATGGGGAATAGCGTACTCGAGCTCCCCCAACCAAAGCTCGGTAGAAGATAGGCCTAGGAAGCGCTATATGACCATTCGCATGGCCATTCCCGTCAGCTGCCGAAAGTCCATTTTCGTTTTCCATCCCTGCAAAATAATAGCACTTTTCGGGTTAGAAATTTGAATCGCTATCTAGTTCGGATATCCTGTAATGCATGCTTACCTAATCACTAATTCGTCTCCAAGTATCACTCTAGGTAAAACTAACTTAGTTGCTAGTTCGCCCTGAGTATCATTTTAGGTATGACTAAGTCATCCCATATCGAGTCTTAAGGGTAGAGTATCTAATATGTCCCCCGTATAGATCTCTAACCTAGCGCTCTGATACCAACTGTGACGCCCCTACTTCTCCCTAAGGCGAACCAAAGGGTATTCGCGGGACGCCTGCCTAACTCTCGTCAGGACTCAAGCAATTCCATTTAAGCTTATTACCGGACCACACAATACTAGTCAATAACTTAGATACAATAGATGCGGAAGCGTTCAAGCTTAAAATAGTCATCCATTATCCAACCCACACGTAGGTATACAAAATACATCAAGAATCCCAAATACACATTACGCCCCAAAAGTTACATTTCAATTCCAAAAGTACAATCCAAGACCAAAGGCATAACCAAAAGTAATAGAAAACCCTAAACAAAAGTACATCAGGAGGGTTTCTCCATTTCATCTCCGAGTTCAAACTTGTTAAGGAAAACAAATCTACAGGGTGAGCAAAAACGCTCGTGAGGCCAAGAACACACATGCAGGCACATAGCTCAGGTAACAAGCCCAAGTAACAATTCAAGTAATAATTTGCAAGTAATTAATAATGCCAACAAAATGTAACCAAAAATAATTCAAGGATATGGTAGCTCTCAGGAGATAAGTTCCACATTTTGCCAATGTCATTTGTATATCTCCCCGCGATGACTCTCCGTCAACCGGATTGATATTTCATATCCGTAGTTCACCACTTACTCCTCATCCGTCCACCATACACCGCTTCGAGCCCGCACGACATTTATAAGGCGATACTTCACGAGTATGCCAAGCGAGATCTCTCAATAGATCAAGCTTATCATGTAATTCTCACGGCTCACCAAGGTTCCCGACCAGACCCATGCCGGCTCGAGTTCCAAGATCAGCCTATGAGTTTGGGCGTCCCCCATGTATCATGTAAGTGTCGAGGAGATTCACTCCAACGACGTATGCAGTCATAGCATACCATATCATGTATTCAAGCATTTGACAGGTTTAAGCATGTATTTCAGGTCATGTAAACCAGGTAAAACATGTTAAGCATTAGTCATTTGTTTCAAATGAGAACGAGTGCGATAAAGTATACACTCGACTCCATTTTTCAAAACTAAGCAGGCTAAGCATGTATTCAGGTAAGCTAAGCATGAATCAAGTCCATAGAGTTCAAGTAGTCAAACACTTGACACTCACCAAGATATGCAAGCAAGTAGGTTGGATTGAGAGTTCAAACTTTCACGGTAGGGTCCTCTTGGAGGTCCTCGTGCGTGCCTGAACATCGAATAGTAGACAATTTCTATAAGTTCCCAAGTGGCGAGAAAGATTGAACACGAGTAGGGTTCAGAAATATTTTGGAAATTTCGTTTGAGTTTGTCTTTGAAGTTGGATTCGCAAAAAGGGTGCGAGACTCGAGTAAGATCGGATTATTATTCTTGAAATCATTGGATGGAAACGAGTACGTGCGAATAAATCTCAAAACGGACGACCAAAGTTGAAAGTGGACTGGCCACGTCACAATCCGATCGGAATCTGGCCGGATTCTTGGCCGGATTGGAGGCAATAGCCATCCTCATCATTTTTTTTTTCAAATCCCAACTACAATCTGGCTGCCTATCCGGCCAGAAACTGGCCGGATTCAAGGCCGAATTCCTTCCCGCGCGGATTTCTTTTGAAATTCCAGAATTCTCGATTTTTGGTAAAATTTTTGAAAAATCATAAATTCTTTTCTACTAGTCAAAACTTGATAAATTTGGTACCGTTGGAATCGTCTTCCAATGTACTAAAAGTCCTTAGAAGACATTGTTCCATGAATCTAAGTGGAAGGTATTAAAAAATGAGCTTAAAGTTGTTGTTCCAGATCACCCAGGATTGAGCCGGGGTTGGTTTTTCGCTAACTTTGGAAATTCGGCAGAATTCACTCGTTGCAAACCAGCCCTTGAAACTTATAACTCAATTAGAGATGCAAGTAAGGTTTAGGACAGAATAAGCGGATTGAGAATCGGAGTTTCGAGCACCAAGATATGGTAGCTCAAAGTTGGGGAAAATTCAAGACTGTTGAACAATTTCCAGATTTGGGTTTCCGACTTTGGACCTTTAGTTAAGTGTCGAAACAGACTTGGATTGGTACCAAATTTTGCAGTATAGTACTCCTATATGAAGGGTATCTCTCTATCAAATTTTGTGGAAAAAAATACCTTCAGAAAGGTGGTTAACCAATCAACCAAAGTTTTGAAATTACTAAGGCAAAACTGTCTTTAGCTCTATTTCTCTCCGTTTCCAAACATTCAGCTAAGAAAAACCTCTAAATTTGGTCCATTAGTGCAAGAAAAGTCTAAGGAGCATACATGATACATTTGGTGGGTGTTTAGCACCAAGAAATTCATTTAGTAAGACCACAACAAGTCTCACATCTAATCTGTCCAAATCTAAGAGTTTTCAAGAACAAGGCAGTCACCGAATTTTGATCATGACTCACTCAATTTAACTCGGAATTGAGCATGGTTGATTGTGTTGGAAAATACATTCATAGGGTTATAACTTCACAGAAGAAATCGTTTTAAGTTTCAGCATGCAACTGGCTCAAAATTAAGCCTAAAGTTGTAGCATCATCAAATCATTCCAGCAGAACAGAGAAACAGGGTAGCCTTCTTAAAATGATTGGTTTGGCTCACACACTTGGAACCAAAACTTGCATTTTATACCGTTGGAAAGGTGTGGATGTCTAGTTTCAAATGCCACTGACGGAACTCGATTTCGACGTCGGAGGACAAAGTTACGGCCGAAACACTATCACTGGACAGAGCTACACGAAAACAGTTTTCCAGCTTGACTAGTTTCACAAAGAAATTCATTTGCCCAACCAAACTTCAATATTTTCCAATGAAAATTTCTACACAACTAATAAAACATATAAACATCATATTCAAACCATTAGATCATCAAAATTTGGCCTTAAAATAACCGAACAGGGCAGGGGCAAAATCGGAAGTTTCTATCCCATGAGTTCCTTGAGGTTTCTACTAATTATACTCCATTAATCCAACATTTCAAACACTAAACCAACATTATAAAAAGCATCAATCATCATATCAGCCATCAAGACAGAGGTGGGAGTTCATAGAGCCCACCTTCCATTTTTTTCAACAACAACCACAACCCATAAGAAATTAAGAGCTAAAAGATATACTAGAACTTCCAAAAATTGAAGTTAGAAGGTTGGATTATGACTTACTCTAGTTGATGTTCAAGTCAGAAATTCAGTCCCTCCTTGCTCCTAAGTGAGCCGTGAAAAGCCTCCCCTTTTTAGCTAGATATGAACTCCAAGGCTTAGGCTAAGTAGTGCTAAAATTTGAGAAGATTTGGTGGTGATTTGAGTGAGTTTTGTAGAGGAAATGTTGGAAAGTTTTCGGTTGTTCCTTTGCTATCTGCTAGCCGGCCATGGAAGCTTGGAGAAATGAAATGTTTGGTTTGACCCTTTGGCGTACAAGGAACGCTGAACGTCTAATAGTTTAAGTGCGCAAAAGTCAATTGCAAATAGTGCGCATACGCGCGCGTTTTGTGCTCGATTTCTCTTAAGTTTGTTGCACTAGTGCACTAAACCTCTAAGGCACTTACATTCATATAAATATTATTCATTCTTAATTGTCCCAAAATAATGGTCTAAAGTCCCTCAATTAAGCGTGGGCGTGAAAACGCGTATTTCCAATTTAGGCGCAATAAAGTAAAACCTTCGAGAAATTCTTATAACGATCGTACCACTAACTATTACTTGAGTACTTAAACCTAAATTTACCTATTTTGGACCATTGTACCTATCTCCAAATTTTCGAGCTTATTG